GAACTCTTATTGTGTGATTAAGGATTTCTGAAGTTCCAAATGGTGGTCTTAGTCTCCAAATCCTTGTCTAAGTCAATGAGAACTGTCCAGCCTCCCTGGAGATGGTCACTTGTTTTGACCAATAATGTCAAAAGAGACCATGTCAACGGTAATGGTCCAAAGTACATTCTCGGTTATCAAATTACTGCTTTACTTATACTTTCTTCCTTATAATACTGCAGTTGCTAATATACCAAGCAAAGAGTCTTATATAAATGGCAAACATAACGTAATGGAACCATATGTAGTAGTTTTCCTAATTGCTCTTCATTTAGCACTTTCTGAAAGACAGCTCCCAAATTGTGATAAACTAATCACAAAGCAGACAGAGATGGGTTTATTAAGTACTGAGTGAATTAAGTCTACTGTACCTACTTCCAAGAATGACGACTGAGGCTCCTCTTTTTATAGGGATCTCTGTTGGCACAGTGGCTAAGTGCTTGGCTTCACCTCTTTTATATATTCAAATACATTCTATCTGATATACCTTAGCTTTACCTGTCAAAAATTCCTCCCAGCTCCTCCAGTAAGAATATTGTTTCCAAACAAAGTTTGGTTGAAGGACCTGTTGTGTCTGTTACTTTATTGTTCAGCAGAATTACCAAATAGAAACTGATTTAGCATTACAGCATGTGTAAGTCAAAGAGAAAAGGCATCACTGCAAAGTTTATAGGCCCGCTTAGAAAGGCTCACTGTATTCAACTAAGAAGAATAAAAGGAAACTTGGCAAAACTTGAAAGGCCCATCTATCACCATCTCCATCCCAGGTTCTTCTGACAATTATAACTTACTCCTGTGTTTGGCTGTTGCTTTAAAGCAGCTGTACCCAGTCAGTTCACACTTTGCATCAACTGGGAATTAATTGCTGCTCTATAATCCCATGATCATTTTTGATCTCGCTGCTGCTAAAAGATAAAAGTGATAAACATGATGGCCGTGACTTTATGAGATAGTGCTACTTCATTTCCTCCGAGGATATGTATTCACTCTCAGATATCCCATTAATAGTTTCAAGTAATGATCTAAGCATTTTTCAAATGAATGCATCGTAACTAGGTGCTGCAGGGTAGCATGAAAAGGATGATCATTTTAGAGAGAAATATCTTGAGGGGGTTAAAAAAAGGAATAATTTCTAGTTTTAACATATGCGTATTAATCTTACTTGTTTTGATGATCTCAAAGATAAAAAAGTCCAGTGAATAAGTATAATTATCTCTTCATTATATCACTGCTAACGTTTATTGTAAGGAGCTGTGGTGCTGCAGTGGTTAAGTTCTTGGCTGCTAACTTAAAGGTCAGCTGTTTGAACCTACCAGCTGCTCTGTGGGAGAAAGATGTGGCAGTCTGCTTCTGTAAAGATTTACAGCCTTGAAAACCCAATGGAGCAGTCGTGCTCTGTCCTACAGGGTCACTATGAGTCCAAATTGCCTCTGTGGCAGTGGGGTTGTTTGTTTGTTTAGTCTTTATTATTAGTTTAAATTTAGGTGGCACACCTGTTTGAGAGGAATGGGGTGCTGATTTTGTTGTTTTGAGGAGAAGCCGCAGAATTTGTTCTGAACAAGCCTCAGGCAGTGTTAACTGCTCAACTTGGATAAGCTGAAACCCTTTGCAACCTGTCAGAGATGCAGAAACCACTGGGGTGTGCTTGAGGTTCAAGGATTCCTAGGCAGGAGTGACTGGTGACAGCACGCTGCAGGTGGTCTGTTCAGCACTGTCACATGGGGCAGCAAGGATACCCTGCCCAATTTTTCATCCCAAAAAAATCCTGTCAACACTTCAAGGGCTTAAATATAAAACCTTTAACATTTTAAAAAAGCAATCTCCACGGATGAAAATATTAATCCATAGCACCTAAGTAAATAGTTTTGCATATGAGGGTATGTGATATTATGTTAAAATTACATGCTAGATGAAGTATGGAAGTGTTTTCTACTCCATAATTTTACAACCCAAACAATGCAAGTTGCATTCCCTTCTTCCTGATAAAGATGATAAAGTACAGCTGAAAATAGAGGATAAAATGACCTTTCTTCTCACAGTTCCTTGTTCCTTTTACTTCATTTCTTCCTTCCTTCCTTCCTTCCTTCCTTCCTTCCTTCCTTCCTTCCTTTCTTTTCTTTCTTTCTTTTTCCTGTGAAGGATGCTTTGAAATGCATTTGGAAAAGAATTTTTTGTTGGAGTAATAAAGAAAATGACCCACTTCTTAATATTAATGATAGTAATGATTCAAGAATTGCATCCATTTTTTAAATTCCCTGATTTTATTGTCAAGCTTTTTATCTGAATGATAAATACTAACAGTAAGATGCTCCCCCTAGTTGCCCAGTAATATTAAGTGCTGTTATTCATTGAATGTCAGTTTGTGCCAATTTTTTTGCCCAGATTATTTATAATCTCTGGAAAATCCTGTAAGAAGTCCATTACACCTATTGTGTAAATGGAAAAATTGATCATCTGGGTGGTTAAGTGACATATTCAAGAACATGAAGCCAGTAGGAGATGGGATTTGAACCAACATTGGGTTCTAGAGTCTAAGTTATTTTGATTGTTGTTTGCTCTTACTGCTAAAAAACATGCTAAAAGCAGTGAAACAGTCCAAAAGCATGCCTTAGGCAGAAAAATAAGAAGCAAGGACAGCCTTGGGTAGTTTAGAAATAATTTAATAATCATATGTTATTAAGTAAGAAATAGTTTAATAATCATATGTTGATTATTCTGATCAGACAGAATAAAAGTCAAGCAGAGTAGAAGAAACTGGGTTAAAAGTCATAACAAAATGTAGATACTTGCAGGAAATGAAAAAGAAAGGCAGAGTAAATGGAAAAATAATACAGGACAGATCAAATAAAAGTTAACAAGGGCATCTGAAAATAATACAGAAATTGATAAAGAAAAAGGAAATCTAGAAGAATGAGGGTTAAAGTAGGCAATTTTGTTTCTTAATCTGTCTAAAGCTGTATTTTTTCCCTGAAAAGTAAAAAGAATCTTTAGTATGTTGATACATTAATTTTGTTTTTCATCCTGATCATGAGTGATAACTAATTTTTAAATTAGACTTTTTTGTTGATACTGCATACTGTGCATGGTATTCCCAGGGAGGTAAGTGGGAAAAGTTCTAATACTAAAAATGCCTATAGCCTCTGGACTGGGGAGCTTTGGCTTTATTTATACCTTACCCAATGGTGGAAGCACCATTTTTCAACTCACTTTCACATAACTGAAAAGTTAGACAAGTGAATGTCAAGATTACTTCATGGAAGAGGTTGTAAATACAAATTAGGGCTTATTTCTACTCCTAACTCTAAATGAGTATTTTGTAGTGTTTTATTCTACATTTGCAAGGATCTTAGACTATCTTTCTACTTCCTGAAAATTACAATAATCAGGCAACAAGTAAAAATAGAAATTTTTAATAGAATGGCTTCTGATCTAATTTGCTAATACACATTCATGTAAAAATGTGATTTTTTTTTCATTGGAACAAATAAACTCTATATTTTTCTTTGCTATACAGAATGTCTTATAAATTCATTATATGTACAAAACATAATGTCCACAATAAATAATTTTATCAACTAGTTTTTATTAAAAAATTGATCTCTAAATTGACCTACATTGACATGACATTAAATAATTTACCTTTGAACATTCTTGGAAAATATATTTTACTTAATGTAATAGATCTCTTTTTGTTTTACATTAGATTTAAAAAAATATATTTTTTAAACTTTTTATTGTGATTTGAGTGAAGGTTTACAGGGCAAATTGGTTTTCCATTCAATAGTTCACACACATTTTGTTCATGACATTGATTGCAATCCCCACAATGTAACAGCCCTTCCCACTTCCTTCCTGTGATTACCATTTCTCTTGTCCTTCTTTCCATTCCTGCCTTTTGAGCTTTACCCTGGATAAATGCTGCCCTTTTGATCTCTTACAGTCGATTGTTCTAAGGAGTGCATACCTCCCTAGTATTACTGTTCACCTCATTGGTCTGTTCGTTATTTGGCTGACATTTGAGCCTGCGGAGTGAGTTCAGTTCCAGGCTTGAAGGGTGACAAAGGGCCATAATCTCAAGGGTTCTAGCAGTCTCATTATCAGACCAGTAAGCCTATTTTTTTTTTTAAATTATAATTTTGAGTTTTGTTCCACATTTTCCCCCACTCTATCAGGACCTCCTTGTGTGATCCCTGTGAGTAGTGGTCAGTGATAACAAGGCACCATCTAGCTCTTCAGGTCCCAGGGTCATGGTGGCTGAGGTTCATGTGTTCTACTAGTCCCTTGTACTAATTGTTTCCCTGCATCTTTGATTTCATTCACATTTCTTGGCTCCAGACAAGGAGAGACAAGTAGTTACATCTTCATTGTCCACTCACAAGCTTGTAAGGCCCTAGTTGTTTTCACCAAAGTAGGAGGTAGAACATGGGCTATGTTATGCCAGTTGATTTTGAGGTCCCCCATGACATATTATCCTGAGCGCACAGGCCCAACAACTCACTCCCTCAAGGTGTTTAGTTAAGGCTAAAAAGTTTTCATAACTTTGCCTCTATTAGCTTTACTATATGTATTGACATTTTTATAGCACATACAAAAATGTATGTAGAAATATCTGCTGAACCTATATATTGTCATGGCTGTAGTCCTGTCCTATACCTGATCATTTTACCTGTCTACCAATTCCATTTGAAGGTGAAATATTGGTTATAAAAAAAATTGAACCTGTGTTCCTACTTAATTATAACTAAGAAAATGAAATGAATTATATCTGTAATTAACCTTCTATAATTTAACTATTTAATTACAGCTAGAAATTGCTTCTTTGCTATTGCCTATTAAGCCTCAAAGTCTAGTGAAGGCCTCTACATCTAATATGAACTCTTCTTTTAAGGTAATTTAGGAGTGAAGACTGCTTAAAAGGCAGAAAAATAGATGTCAACCTTTCCCTTTTATTTCCTATCCAGCTACATCTACATCTACAGCTGGGACAAGCCATCTTGTAAAATGTGCAGAGAAGGAGAAAACGTTCTGTGTGAATGGAGGCGAATGCTTCATGGTGAAAGACCTTTCAAACCCCTCAAGATACTTGTGCAAGTAAGAAAAGCAATCCTCTTTGTAGCTTTGTCTGTAACTGCTTATTATGAGTTTATGTCCCATGGTGTGTCATTGCTTCTTTTTCCAATTTTGTTACATCCCATTGAATGATACTGTTGTATTTGTGGTGTTTTGAAAAGTTCACACCATTTGTCATCTCCTCTGTTATATCCAGAATCGTTTTCAGCTTTTTTCTAATTTTTTTTCTGTGTGTGTTTGTATTTTTAATGATGCTGCTTTTACATGGATTTCCTCGTTGTTACCTAGAAAAAACATGCAAATATAGAGGCATAATATTTGATACTTACCTTCTGCATCCAATGTATGAATTAAGCTGTAAGTTAATGTTCCTTTCTTACCCCAGCAACCATCTGCAAAGTGAGTAGGACAACTAACAGAAGCAGAAGACTCTTCTTTTGATGCATCTCTAACATATGGGATTATTTTAGAGTTTCATAACTATTTTTCAAAATGTAATTTCAGTTGATCTCACTAGTGAAAATCAGTGAATCTCATGTGTTTGGAAATGCACTTTCTGTGTGTAGAAGGCAGTGTTCTTCCACACACTGCAGTTAATTATGGCTATACATACAATGGCACACTTTCAATGGCCAGAAGTGGATGCACCATTGAGAATTATTGAATGTATTCTCTTTCAGCAGGCAGAATAATGTGGTGATATTGTCAGTGTTTTAAATATTTAAACTTTGTAGTAAAAATGAATAGGGCTCATTAAACAGTATGTGTTTATGGTGCTGTGTATCTTAAATCTATTGATATTTAGTCTATATTGGGTATGTGGAATCATATAATTTGATATGGGTAAAAGATATCTGATGTATCATTAAAATGGTGAAAAATACACATTTATTTTGGTATTGATCAACAGCTGTGTTCCCAAAACTGGATCTGTTAAAGACATTCCTTTAAAGATGCAGTTGTACAACATGTAACAAATTTTGCAGACAGCTCAAAATTGGCTAAATGCAGTGGGTACATTGTTCTAAAGTAACAATGCTTGTCTTAAGCGAGAGAAAAAAAAAAATCATACTGTTGTAAAAATTGTCTCCTGTTGTACAACATTCCTTGTAAATGTTAACCAGGAAGTGCTAAGTCTGTCAGAGAGGTGATTGAGCTAATAAAAAGAAGAATTAGCAAAAAGAAAACAAAGACACAAGTCGTTAACAAGGCGAGTTTTCTTCTACATCATACAAATTGTATACAATATTTATGTGTTGATTCTAAGAAAGACTTAATTATGCTTATGTTGTTGTTGTTATGTGCTCTGAGTCAGACCAGACTCATAGCGACCCCTCCTTGGGTTGCCGAGGCAGTATCACTTGAAAGTAGATTGCCCAACCTTCCTTCTGAGGAGTTAAGCTTATAAGTGCATCTTAAGAAGTATGTGTTTTTAAATGATTAACACCAGACAAAAAAATGTCATATTGTAGGAAATGTTTTGCTGCTCCCTGTGCTGGATTAGATGTGGCTTCTTCACAGTGTATCTCATGGGACCTTGTGGCTATAGACAGTTACCTCCCCAGAACTTCTGCTTTCTTGTCCTTATGAAAAGAGTAGAAACAATGCCAAGAGATTAAAAATTTCTGTATTTATCTAGCTAGTTTTAGAAGTCCCTGGTTGATGGAAAAATTTAATCACTTGGCTACTAACCCAAAGGTTGAAGGTTTGGGCCCTCCCGAGGTACCTTGGAAGAAAGGCCTCTGATCTACTTCTGAAAAAGTCAGTCATCGAAAGCCCAATGGAGCACAATTATACTCTGAAACACATGGGAGTGCCATGAGTTGGAAATGACTCAAAAACAACTGGTTTTAGCTGGTTTTATTAATGGAGACTGATAATTTATAAAAGTAAATATTATCTTATAAGGTGGATAAACACTAGGAATCAGGAAACTAGAATTCTAATCCCAGTTACATCTGTTCATGGAGATAGGTAAGAGTTGTAAGCCCAAATAAAGTTAAATGTAAAAGTCTTTAGAAAATTTTAGATCAGGATAAATGTGAAAAAGCATTTAGGAAAGAAAATTAATTTTCAGATTTGAAACGCTGTTTATTTTTTGAAATTTAATCTTAGAGATTCATTTTCTAATCATCAATATACCCAAATCTATATCTATCTATGTACCTATCTTTCACAAAGAATAAAAATCTGTCATTGTTATTCTTTGGTACTGCCAACTTTTAAAGACAGCAAAAATACAGTGTCCTCATATTCATAATATATATATTGAATTGAGCTGAACAGATTTTGTCATTTCCTAGAAGATTTTCTCTGATAACAGAAAATACCAGAAGCTGGGGGTTTAATCTGTAAAATATGAGACTCATTTGTCATATAGGGAAACTTTGTTATTCTTTCCTAATCTTAGGCATACAGTGTAATTGTGTTTTAATAAATCTCCCTAAAAAAACAAGTTATAATTCCTTAAATTCTTCTCCTTTTTAAACAATTGTACCCATATTATCTATGTCTCATATTTTTACTTCTTTAGAAAAGCATCTGAGACCACTATATTTTAATTATAATAATGAAACATGATCATTTTTCATCATAGCCTTTGCAAAGATTTACAAGCTGAGTGAGTATATATGATAGTTTCTGAATACCTCTAAGGAACCAGTACAGTTATTTTCCACATATTAATTTCAGCTATTCCGTAGCCCTCCCACGTCCTATACAAAACATGCAATTGCATAAGTGGTGTTCATTTGTTCCATTTTGGTACTGTGCCAACAACTGTAATTTTTCTTCACATGCACAGGTTTTCATTAAATTTTAAGCCCAATACAGTAAAAAACTACTTGCTATATTTTTTAATCTTCACATGAAATGTTTGCTGTCCCGCTAATAATTACAAAAGCAGTAAACCATGACTGAACACTCTACATTCCTCAAGCTAATTGCCTTACGGATCATGTTTGCCTTCTAGTTCTCAGCAAATTGGCATCATCGTGATTTTATTTTGTTTTTTGGTAATCAGTATTGTTCAGGAAAGTGTTAAGGCTTTTTACTGATTCTTATGGGAAAGAACATTTTTGAGAACTAAGAGATTAATAACTTTTTTCTCCTTTTGGAGTATGACTTTATCGATTCATCAAGGCAAGCCAGTACCTCGAGGGAAGAATTGGAGTATATTTAAAATGCAAAATATTCCTGGTCTTTTTTGTTAAGTGAAAGAGATGTGCATTTTGTTTCTATTCTAAAGCCTTGTATTAAAAATATCTATGACATTAAAAAAAATCACAACTCAATATTTATACAAAGGCACATAATACTCATGTCTGGTGATAATATATTGTTCACTAGACCACTTGAATAGGAACAGAAAATTGTTGCGTTGGCTCATCATGGTCCTATTTGTGAAGCCAGTTCATAGTTTCCATATGGTCCATCTGTTTAGAGCAAAACATTGCTGAAGCATGAGCCACACCATTCAAAAAGAGCATTATCCTGAGTGAAAGACATGACTCAGAAACACCACAAGCATGGGAGTTTCCAAGTGGTCTCTCTGGTCACCTAATCCTCTGTAGTCTTCTTGGGAGTTGAAGTAGATTTTACAGCAAATCACTTTGTCTCTCAGTTTACAACAAGGTATTCCAAATGGATTAACCATATAACAGTTAAACACTTCTCTGAGGAGAGATTTGCTGGCTACTTAGACATCCCTCTGGGGACCGTGTTTGAACTTCAGTGGTGGTTCTCATCTTTTATATTTCTTTTCTCTCTATAGTAATTTAAAATGTATCCTAGAGAAAAAATACTTATTATTCCAGATTACATAAAGCTGAAAAAAGAATTATACTTTTTTTTTTTTTTAATGCTCTATACTGCTCTATATTGTCATGTGGTTCAAAGAAACAAGAATCTTATCTGAGCAGAATATTTTCCAGATTTTTCTCTTATTTTTTCTCGTATATCTATGTTCTTCTGAACAATTTCAGAAGAATATAGAGAAGTATTTTGGAAAATGTTCATTCGATTTTTTTTTTTTAAATCCAAAATGAGTTTATGCCAGACTGTTTATAAACATAGTATGTTGTCCCTTGGACAGATGTCCCTTCATCATAAGGGGATTACAGTTTTAACTACTGATTTTGGTGAAAAGTCTTAATATCTTTCACTTCAGTTTTCTGTATGAAAAACTGTATTTATAAAATAGAGTTAATATGTTCTCCAAATTCCTTCCAGAGACTCAGTGAAATTAAATGAGTTCTTTTCTGCTAAAGTACATCTAACTCTGGGGAAGCAAGATTTTTTTTTTTTTCTTATAATAAAAAGTAAGTGGTAGTATAACATGCTCTCTGTAGGTATAAGAAAAATATATACACCTGCCTTTACAAAGTGTATTATCATGTTTAAACCCCAATTCTTCATTTTATGGAACACTAGCAATTTTTGATTTGGTGGGGCCATGAGCTAGCTTTATAACTTTGGGTTTGACAGATCATTTTGTATCTCTGAACATTGGCTTCCTTATGTTTCAAAAAACAAAGAAATCAAGTTTATGAATAGGAGAGATGCCTTCAAACATAGACATGTATGGTTTATATGATTAATTTTTATGAAACCATATAGTATATGTTGTTCTTGTTGTTGTTGTTTGCCGTCAAGTCGGCCCCGACTCATAGCGACCCCTCCTTGGGTTTCCGAGGCAGTATCACTACGGAAGTAGGATTGCCCAACCTTCCTTCTGAGGAGTGGCTGGTGGGTTTGAACCGCCAGCCTTCTGGTGAGCAGTAAAAACCCGTATTGTTTTATGCATTATTGTAGGAGTCAGTTACGAAAATTGTGTAACTGCCAGAGATAAAGTCACAATAAATATATAATAATAAATTAAACTCAATAAATAGATAATATTTATTTATAGATTAGGAGCTCTGGTAGTGTAGTGCTTAAGGCACTTGACTGCTTACCAGAAGGCTGAAGGTTCAAACCCACCAGCCACTCCTCGGAAGGAAAGTTGGGCAATCTACTTCCGT